TGCTTCACAATAAAAAAAAAAAAAAATCTTCAAGTTGTGGGCATGTTCTGTAAATTAAATGATGCAAATCCTCAAACAATCCATGTTAATTCCAGGTTGTGAGGCAACAAAACACGAAAAATGCCAAGGGGGTGAATACTTTTGCAAGGCACTGTATAAACAGCTATTTGTAACAAATAAAGACAGTCCTTGTCCCCAGCACTATGTGTCATCTACTATCTGTGGGCAGCAATAGTCACTGAAGTGCAACTTTCTCCTGGAAGAAGAAGAAGAAATAGACAGAGGTACTCAGCCTGAGTATTGTGCTCCATTACAGACTGAATCTAAATAGGGACTAGTGCTACAGTGTTCCGTTAATTCCATACTGGATTTTTTTTGTGGCCAAGAATTACATTTGTAGCTATTGTAGATATTGATTTAATAAAAAAAAGATTTGATAGTGTAGTGCAAGCATGTCAGACTCAAAATCTAGCACAGGCCAAATAAACAAGGTTTAAGTTAATGTGGGCCGCAAAAAAAAAAAAAAACTTCAATTTTCATAGATCCCAGTCCTCCCCCTATACTAAATCCCAGTCCCCACCTCTACTAAATCCCAGCACCCCCTCTAGTCAACAAGCAGACTCCATTCACATTGCCGCTGCCAGTATGCAACTCCGGAGTTCGGCCTCTGGTATACCCCAAATGGCGCCGTCCGCACCTGTAAAGGTGGAGCACGTCGACTTCACGTCGAAATGTGATGTGGCGTTGCGTGCCTACGCGCACCTCCAGGTACTCCACTGTCCAGCCGCAGCCATAGCAACACAGACACACACACACACAGTCACTGACACACACTGACAGATACACACACATTTACACACTCACACAGTCACACAGACTCACTGACAGACACACACACACTCACTGACACACACACACACAGACACACAGACAAACAAACAGACAGACACACACTCACTGACAGACACACACACACTGACAGACACACACACACATTTACACATTCTTGCACACACACTCATATCATTGTATTTATCCCTGGGGTCGTGTTGGTATCTTCTATGTGCTCACTGTTCCCTCACAAACGCAGTTTAGTGATGTCATATTCTGGCACTCGGCATCACTACAGACCGCACACGTGAGAGAGCCATGAGGAGCAGGAAGACTGAGCTCCTCCAGCGACCTCTGAGTCCTGGACAGGTACATTTTAGCATAGTAGGCACCTGCAATGTGGAGAAAGCAGGTGCCTACTCTGCTTTAACACTAAGCATGAACTCGCAGCTCGCCAGGCTACAAAGTACATGCTTGTGGGTCGCATGTGGCCCGCGAGTTTGACATGCTTGGTGGTAGTGGTAAAGGAATGCTATGGAATATTGCCTACATCCTTTTTTTTTATATGTTTATGAAATTATTATTGCTATTGAAAGTTGATTCATTTCTATTCTGCAGTTAGCATCTGCAATTAATATACAGTATATACCATTTAAGACTAATGTAGCCCATGGAACAGCGCAGTTAAGGCGAATGGGCCTTGACAGGGCTAGCAGACAGACATAAGACGGGTTAAGGTATGGGGATTGACTAGCATAACTGGAGAAGGAGTATATATAGTGGCCATTTTAGATCAGCGGCCATCTTAATTAATCCTTACTTACCTGTTTTGTCCCACCATCCCTTATTTGGTCTCTAGCTCCTGTTTGGTCACGGCGGCGGGGCATGGATAGAGAAGTTTGGGTGTAGGTTTTTTGTCCTGAGGGAAAATAGTTTGATTCACTAAGAACAGTTTGGTTGGGAAGAGTATTGGTAGGTTCTAACTCGTAGGTAGCTCCGAACCTGGTGTAGGGTGTTTCCAGGTATGCCCCTACATGGAAGAAAGCTGGTAACCATGCCCTCGGTGGAAATTGGTTATGTTTACATGTTAATTATGTTATGTTTTACTTATTGTGTTATGGGTCATTGTCTGGCATAGTATTGTTAAAGGAGTTGGAGGCAGGGCCGTCTTTAACAAGGGGCAAACGGGGCAGCTGCCCCGGGCCCAGTTGCTCCTGGGGGCCCAAAGCAGCTACCCCGTGGGCCCCCTGCCCGCAGCCAGGTCTGAACAGCCCACCGGAATACTGAGAATTATCCATGTGGCTGCAGCAGGTGATGTAATCAGGGGCCCCGGCCCTTTAAGAGAGCTCCTGACCGAGTCCCTGTCTTCCTGCCTGCTGGGAGGAAGTGTTGTGAGGTCACTTCCTCCCAATTAACAGAGTGCCGCTGGGGAGGAGGAGGTACAGACCAAGAAGACTCCCATCAATCTCAGCCATCCAGCTCCCACTGGACCACAGGCAAGCCACACTTCTGTAAAGGTAAGGAGGGTGGCTAAACTATGTGAATTCATATGACTCTGTGTGTGTGTGTGTTTGTGTCAGTGTGTGTATATCTGACTGTGTGTGTTTGTGTTTGTGTTTGTATGTGTATCTGTATCTGACTGTATGTGTATCTGGCTGTATGTGTGTATATCTGACTGTGTGTGTATATCTGACTGTGTGTGTGTGTATATCTGACTGTGTGTGTGTATATCTGACTGTGTGTGTGTATATCTCGCTGTGTGTGTGTATATCTGGCTGTGTGTGTGTATATCTGGCTGTGTATATCTGGCTGTGTGTGTATCTGACACTGTGTGTGTAAGTGTGTATCTGGCTGTGTCAGTGTGTATCTGGCTGTTTGTGTCAGTGTGTGTTTATATGGCTGTGTTTGTGTCAGTGTACATGTACCTTTGTGTCACTGTTTGTGTATCTGTGTGTATGTATACCTATGTGCAGTAGCGTACTAAGGGGGGGGCGGGGGGGGCGGTCCGCCCCGGGTGCCAGCCGGGTGGGGGGTGCCATGGCCAGCCCCCCGCCAACCCTCCATGCTGCAGCCGCCCGAGCGCTCTGTATTGAGCCTCAGGCGGCTGCAGCTTTGCCCGGGCGGTGCGTCCATGAGGGCGGACCGCACCGCCCGGGCGCAGCCTGAGGAGAGGCTGACAGGACGCTCCTGTCAGCTCC